AGAAGAATGGAGTTCTGTAGTTCAAATTTCTCTTTTTTTTATGAAAAAAAAAAAAATTGATCTATCACTATCTTCGTTCTTTTTTATATAGTTCGGATAAGGCCAAAGCTGCCATTTTTTACTCTTATACTCGACATATAAATGGATTTGCTGCAACTCTCGAAGAAAATGAAGCACTTCAATTATCCAGTAAGTGGTTTTATCTATAGCCACGTTCTTATTTATTTGTTTATTTATTTTACAAACGCGGTTCTAATAACTATGTTCAATGTATCACATGAACATTCTCAGATCATCCAAAAGTTATATCTGTATTCTTGAATAGAGCAAGAAAGTTGCAAACAACGAGGTCGTGGAGTTTTCTTGGTCTCGAAAATGACGAAGGAGAAATTCCTGCCAGCTCTTTGTGGAATAAGTCCAGATTGGGTGAAGATGTCATCATCGCCAATCTTGACACGGGTTTGTTTTCTTATAACCTCTCCGAAGTATCATTTACACTTTGATATACATATGTTTATTTCTATGTTATATAATATTGAGTATTGTGATTGAACAAGGCGTGTGGCCAGAATCGAAAAGCTTTAGCGACGAAGGAATAAGGGGTCTGATTCCATCAAAGTGGAAAGGAATCTGCCAAAATCAATTTGATCAGAGCTTTCAATGCAACAGGTTGTGTTTGTGTGTGTGTGCATGCGCGCATATATCATAACTTAATCATTTCTCTTAAAACAAATTTATTCATGCATATATGTGTTGATTTTCGATGGATGAAGGAAGCTGATCGGTGCCCGCTACTTCTACAAGGGGTACATAGCGGGCGGGGGACACCTCAACTCAAGCGACTACACGCCGCGCGACTATGAAGGCCACGGGACCCACACCCTGTCGACAGCTGGCGGCAACTTTGTCTCTGGGGCAAATATCTTCGGCTATGGTAACGGCACCGCCAAGGGTGGGTCCCCCATGGCCCGAGTGGCAGCCTACAAGGTCTGTTGGCCCATCATCAATGATGGAGATTGCTTTGATGCTGACATCTTGGCGGGCTTCGACATGGCCATCAACGATGGGGTCGACGTGCTCTCGGTCTCCCTCGCTGGAGATGGCAGTATCGAGTATTTTATGGATGCATCAATCATCGGGTCGTTTCACGCGGTGAGTAAAGGGATTGTGGTCGTCTACTCGGGTGGAAATGCGGGGCCATTCCCTGCTACGGTGTTGAACGTTGCGCCTTGGAAGATCACGGTTGGCGCAAGCACCATCGATAGGAAATTTCCTAGCTATTTAATCATAGGGAACAAGACATACGAGGTAAATATATATGTATCTTTCGTTTCTACCTTTCATGTTCATTATTATTCAGCGAAAATTTTTGTGTAAATGAGTAGTTAATTCGCAGGGACAAAGCCTTTCACAAAAATCACTTCCAGAGGGGAAGTTGTTCCCCATAATTTTTGCGGGATATGCAAATGCCGCTGATGCAACAGCGAAACAAGCGTAATTTTTTTTCCTTGAGGAACATGATTTTACTGAACTAATTTCGAAAAGGTTAATATGTGAATGAAATATACTATTACGGGATAAAATACAGGGAGATGTGTGAAGCTAGATCTCTGGATGCTAGAAAGGTGAAAGGGAAGATCTTGGTTTGTCTATGGGGGGGAAGCGGGAGCAAGGTCTACAAGAGCTGGCAAGCCGCCTTAGCTGGTGCAAAGGGAATGGTTTTAGCAAATAACGAGGCCGCTGGGAATAGGATCATAGCCGATGCTCATTTCTTGCCAGCTACTCATATCAATCACAAAGATGGACTTGCTCTCTTATCTCAATTGAATAAAACAAGGTGAACACAATCACATATAGCTATATTACACCAACTTCCTTTTCACATGCTTCTGTAAAATGACATTGTCAAAAATATGATGGCGAAGCAGGTCTCCCGTGGCTCGTATCACCACACCAATAACTCTTTTAGATACAAAGCCAGCGCCAGTAATGGCGTTTTTTTCATCTCTAGGACCAAATCCAGTAATGCCGGAAATTCTCAAGGTTTTGAGTAATACTGAACCTTGTAAATTCTTGTTTAATTTGTTATATTTTATGTCTTACTTACAGTTTTTTTTTTTTTTTCTCAGCCGGATATCACTGCACCAGGAGTTAGTATCACAGCCGCATATATCCCAAAAATAGGACCGACAACCTATGTCTATGACACGCGACGTGTGTCGTTCAATTCTATGTCAGGTACTTCAATGTCCTGCCCACACGTTGCTGGAGTTGTCGGCCTCTTGAAGAGGCTCTACCCAGATTGGAGCCCGTCTGCCATTAAGTCCGCTATCATGACCACTGGTGATTACCTACATTAATGAAGTCACGAATCAGCAGTACACAAACATGGATGCCTATGAATAATTCTAAAGAAATAACAAGGATAATAATCATTTGTTGTGTCTCATTTTTTTTTTTTTTTTTGCAAGTACACTCGACAACACTTTGCGCACAATCACCAACTCCAGCAACTCAAAAGCTACGCCGTTCAGTTATGGAGCAGGACACATTGATCCGAACCGGGCAATGGACCCTGGACTCGTTTACGATTTAGAAACAACAGATTACCTCGACTTGTTATGTGCATTCGGTTTCAACCAAACGCAGATTAAGTCGTTGTGGGATAGAACGTACGCTTGTCCCAAGCGGAATATTAGATTCATCGACTTCAACTACCCCTCGATCACAGTTCCCAACCTCAAACGCCCAGTCATCGTGACAAGGAAGGTAAAAAATGTAGGTCCACCGGGCACTTACAAAGCCTCCGTTTGTCGCCCAGATGGAATATCAGTAAAAATCGAGCCGGATACGTTGGAATTTAAGTCGGTTGGGGAGGTGAAAGGATTCAGCATTAAAATACAGCCTGCAAAAAATGGTGGTAGCAAAGATTATGTATTTGGGAAGCTGACATGGTCTGACTGTCGTCAGCATAAGGTGACGAGTCCAATTGTTGTTAAGCAGATATAGAAGAAACCCAACATTTCTGGAGATGAAGTCCACACAAGGCGTGTTTTTAATCATGCCAATTAACTATCTCTGGCTCTATCTATTGGATTGTCTTTTTTTTTTAACTTTTTTTTTTTATATATGTTGGATGAATAAATATGTCATGTACACGAATGGTTGCCAATAATTATACAAATAGAAATTACTAAATGAAGACTCTTCATAACCTATGTTCTACTCTACCTACTCAATTTTTCTTCTGGCCGGCTTGATTCACTAAATAATAAATAAAAAAATAAAAAAATTCAAAAAAAGAAAAAAAGGAAAGGATCGAACCACCGGTTCCAGTCCAGTTCGGAACCGGCGCAGACGGTTTAAAAAGTATATATATGTTGTGCGGAACCAGTTCGGTCAAACCACGTTGTCAGTTCAAGACCCGTTAACCACGTCCGGTTTGGGCCTAACAGCCGTTATAAGATTTTGTTGCAAAAAAAATAATCTGATCCGAAAATAGAGATAGGAAAGTGAAAAGAAAATGTTAGAGAAAATGATGTAGAACGTGAATAAGAACGGAAAAGATACGAGATACTCTGTCGTGAAAGAACTCACAATATCAGATTAATCTCAAAATTATTCATCGTCTGCTACTGAAAAGAATACAAATATATATATATATATATATATATATATATA